AGGTATTGGCAGAACCAAAAAGGAAGTCTTTGCTTACCTTATTCAGTCCATCAGAGGGAAACTTCTCAGTTGGAAATCCAAGTTTTGTCAACAGTCGGAAAAGAAGTGCTACTCAAGGCTGTCATACAATCCCTACATGTTTTCACTATGTCCTGTTTCAAGTTGCCTTTGACTCTTTACAATGAAATCTCTATACTCTGTGCTCAATTCTGGTGGAGTAAAGGAGAAAATCGAAAACATGGGATACACTGGAGAAAGTGGAGCCTATTATCACTACCAAAGATGAAAGGCTTGGATTTCATGATATAAAACTTTTCAAAGAGTTACTCATCTGTAAGCAACTTTAGAGAATAACTATCAATCCTGATCTTCTTGTGATCAGAATTCTGAAAGACAGTTGCAAAAAACGAGGGTAGAACGGGTGCGACCCCACGCACGTGAAGTGCACCATGACATCGAAAGCCGAAATGAAACCCAAGTGAGGTTCCATCCCAAAACAATTGGTGGAAGGGGGAGTAGCACTAGGCTTATAAGTTGGGCCTATTTTTCCTGTATAAACAATATGAGACAACTCATAAGTATATTTTAACACGCTCCCTCACTTGTGAGTCCTTCATACGAAGCCCAATCCCAACTGGGCTGGTGCAGGGGCGGATCTGGCAAATATATTAAGGGGGGCGCAAATTACTTAATGAAAAATATAAAATATTATAACAAAGAATGCAAATACAAAAACATACCTTCATAGTCGTTCTTTACGAGTTTTCATGGCCTGATATTGCTCGATAATAACATCATTACTAATTTTCAAAAAGGTTTCCTTTTCTACATAAACTAGTAGTCTATCATTTAACCAATCGTCACTCATTCGATTTCTCAACCTATCCTTAATAATATTCATTGCGGAAAATACTCTCCACGCTAGTTGTTGCAACCGGCAAAACCAATGCCAAAGTTAAAAGTTTGTAAACCGAAGGAAACACTTTGTGCTTCTTCGTCTGCACCAACTTCTCTGCAAGTTCACTGAGTCTTTTCAATTCTTTAAACAAATTGTTGAAGCGCATGTCAACAATATAGTTCTGCAACTGATCCTCAAAAATGAGAACATCGGATATAGAAAAGTCTTGAGGATAAAACCCAGCCATCTTGACTAATTTCTCCTTCTCAATCCGGGATCAGATGGAAGTTGAGAAGAATCAAACTCCTCGATCACCATTAAACTGTCGGTCGTAGGTTCTTTCTGCCCTGTGATACCAGAATTTCTCTCATATCCATTTGGATTCAAAGTATCTCCCTTTGGGATATTTTCACAAGCACTTTGTGGACGGGACCTTTTTTGATAATATCTCTCCATATCTGATATACAAAAAATAATTTTATAAATTCACAATCAATTGAAATTCTTTACTTTGACATATCACACTTTAAAAAACTATAAGCACATTAGGGATTGAAGTTGATATTTCTACATAAAAAAGAATAAATTTACCATTACCTAAAAAATAAAGAAGAATAATTTTTACCTCCACCAAAATAAACATAAACGGATTTTGTTACCTCGCAAGCCGTCTTCTCGAACAATTGGACCAAAAATTGATAAACTTTTTTACTCTTTTCTCTCTTTCTCTTCTCTTCTTTCCCCTCTTCTCTTTTTTTTTTCCTCTGCGTGACCTTTGTTCTGTTCTGTGCCTAGACTCCTCTTATGTTAGTTAATCAATTCTAATTTTTTTTTAGTTAAATAAGAAAGCAAGACTCTCTTATTTATTAAATCTATGTTGGGTTAAGTTTGTTGTCAAATTGAGACTTTTTTATATGAGCTCATTTTTTTTTTCTTTATTGACCCATAATTAAGACTTTTTTTAATGGGCTCATAGTTTAGGATTATTATTACATAAGAATAGTCAATATGGGCTAATGGCAATATATAGGGGTTTTTTTTCCAGTGTGGGCCTAGGCCCACAATGGTCCTTCTTTGAATTCGTCCCTGGTGATGGGTACGTTATCGCACGGTCCTACGTAGAATCGACTCTGATACCATGTAAGAAACGAGTGTAGAACGGTGCGATCCTACGCACGTGAAGCGCACTATGACAGGGAAAGCCCAGATGAATCCCAAGTGAAGTTCCATCCCCAAAACAATTAGTGGAAGGAGGACTAGTTCACTAGGTTTATAAGTTGGGCTCATTTTTCCTATATAAAAAATATGGAACAACTCACAAGTGATATTCTAACAACATGTACTTCCCTTACTGCTCAATTATTGATGCTGTGAAAGCCCAAAAAGGTTCTTGGATGTGGAATAGTTGGTTGGACATGATTCCTTTATTTTTCAAGTGGCTGAGATCTGAGATAAGGTAGGGAGCTACAACTAGAACATCTGATTTGAACTATATTCCAAATCACTCAAAGCCTAAGCCCACTCTTTTGGAAATTGCAAGAGATCATTTAGTTTGGGTGAAAGACTTGATTTTGGAAAATGGGCTGGGATAGAATGAATGGCTAGTAAGACAGGTCTTTGATGAATCTGATAACAATGCAATAGTTAGCATCAATTGCCTTAAACCTGATTCTTCAGACAGATTTTACTTGAAGGTTGCTGGAAAACTTAAACACTTCCTATGGAAATGCTTTCCTGAGACCCTCCTAGTAGCTGTTAACGTGAAGAAGAGAGGCTTGGCTATTGACACAATTTGCAGGCAATGTGGTGCAGCTCCGGAGACCATTAAACATGTGCTAATCTCGTGTCCTAGGGCCAGCAGGTTATGGGACTTAGATCATCTCCAATGGTACATGAATTTCTCTCTTCTATTGCCACCTAGCCTCCAAAAATCCAATGTGACATTCAATGATTCTAGAAATCTTTCTAGATGTAGAAAGACTTCTAGACATCTTCCATTTTATATTATACTCCATTTGTTGTAAAATATTTGTCGTTGTAGATTAAAAGAACAAAATTACGTAGTTTAAGGAATTAATTATCTTATCATTTTACATCTCTTAAATCTCTTAAATATTAGTAGTATTTAAATAATATTCTTAATAATTTTCTCTCTCCTTCTCAATTTTATAGTTATGTGCGTGTAACTTTTCATATGTTAAACCCCAACTTTACATCTCTTAGTTTGTGTTTATCCAAAACGACAATTAATAAGTAAAAAAAAATGAACACCCAAACGACAATTAATAAAAAACGGAGGGAGTATTATTTATTTTATATTTAAAATTTTACCAACCAATTATTATAATACATGTGTCAAATTATCCCACAATTGAGATTAATCATAGGAAACAAAATATTTTTATTGCCTTTCTCCACACCATACATCTCAAAACAGACATTGAGCTATTGGAGATGCGCTTAGCCCCTGTACACTGGGATGGTATTAACAACTCAGCTGGCTCCTTCAGAGTGTGGTGGCAACAGGTATGCTCCATTGGACACATAGATGTTGCTGAGGCCAAAATTCAGCTCTCCACTTATTTGCTCTAGGCTCTAAAAATCACGAAACCTCTGGGTTTTTCAAAATCTGCTGCTTCCAGTTCTTGTGGTGATCTCAACTGCTCACAAGGATTGGATTGCTTTTTCTTCGATTTAGTTTTCTTTCGTTTTTTTCTAGTCTGTTGGTTGTGTTGGAGGCTAGGTCCTAACTAGGCAGTTGATGGCCGTGGTTAGGTTTTAGTTTCTTATTGTAGTTTTCTCTTTATTTCAGTGTTTGAGGCTCTAGACCACTTCATGCATGTCCCCTAGTTTATTTTTTCGGTTGTTTGGGTTTTCTCCTTGTATTTGGACTTTGTTCATGCTTGAGTTTATATATAGATCTCTCTATCGTTTCGAGCAAAAAAAAAATTAAAAGAGGAAAAAAAAATCCTATTTTCAACCATCGCNACATGTCACCTGGGGCAAACTTGGGCAGGTAAGGGTAGCTTTTCTTTGTCCTAATTTTCTTAAACATTTGATTTCTCCTTAAATGGTGTCATTCATGCACCTAAAGAATTCACATTGTCTTTTCTTTTGCTTGATAATTGTAAAGTGAAAAACTTGATGCCTAGTAGTTTCTGCATATTTTCCAGTAGGTGATTTATTTATTTATTTATTTATTTTGATTGTAGAATATGATACCCTTGGTATTGACAAACTCAAATAGTTGTATTTCTCTCAAACTCTACCCATATTCTGTTTGTTAAAAGTCCAAGTAGAATTTGATCTTATTTGCTTCTACATATCAGCTGCTTATTGCCCACATTACAAGAATGTTTTATAATTTATATTTTTGTTTGTATGAATTCTTGTGGGGTTGGTGCGTTTGAGTCAATGCCTCAAATCTGGCATTTGGAGTTATCAATTACATCATTTTCTGGCTATCAATTGGGAATTAGAGTTGACTCTTCAATTAAAGTTAATCATTCTGTAGATTATTGTATGATGTGATTCTTGAACTTAGTGTAACTTATTTTGTTATCATTTTTCTACTGGCCAAAGAGAGAGAGAGAAAGAATGGGAATCTCAATTTCCTTTCCTATCACCAATTAGGTGAGGTATTGTTATCCACCCAATGTCCTTCAATATCTACAGACTCTCTACTTTAGTTTTCTGAAAAGATATTCACTTTCTTGTCCTAAGGTGTTCAGATAGATTTTATGCCTGGTTAATTGGATTTTTTTCACCTTTTCCTTTGTACACGCAGCAAGATTTTTTTTTTTTTTTTTANTTTTTTTTTTTTTTTTTTTTATCTTTATTTAATTCCTCTACCCTCAGTCCCTCAGTGCTATTAAAGCTGCCTGTGATTTATTTTGTGCCTTGTTGATCTCTAAGAAATTTACCAGCTATTTTTTGGTCAAAGTCCAGTTTTTCTGCCTTCACTTAAAATAGTACCTTCCATTTATTTTTGGGACAATTCCTGTTTATTTATCATTTTGAATATGGATTCTGAAGAAATTGGTTCAGTATCTGACCCTCTTTCTAGCTGTGGTTGGGATCCAAATTTTGTTGAAAATTCTAGTTTGGTTCATCAAAATGAGTTTGCTAATCCACATTATCCTCTTATGACTGAAAACCAGTCAATGGAAAACTACTCGCATTTGGTTCCATTCACATCCGATTCGAGTTCAATGGATTTGGTCAGCCAAATACCGAGTTTTGGAAGCCGGAATTTTTCAAAGATGGTTTCTCATGAAAATTGCCAAAATTCAGATGATGGGGCATTAGGATCTTTGCCAAATGGGAAGAGGAAAAGAGTGGTAAAACAACTCATCTATATTATTTTTACAAAATTTTGGTTAATTCTGAAAGTACCCTTAAAATGCAGGTTAGCTTAATAGAATATATAAAGAAAATGAAAAGAAAGAAAGAGGAATTGTTCATTTGTTTCAGCTTTACAAATTGCATTTCACTTGTCAATATAGGTTATCTGGCAACTAACTATGCTAAATTAAGTGGTAGTAATATTTTTTTTTTTAAGTTACCCCTACACCTCTTATTTATATGATCATATGATTATTTGCTATTTATTCCATATATGTGCATGAAACTGCTGTTTTTTCTCAGATAATGTTAACTTTACTACCCAATGTTGTTTGACTTTGTTGTTGTTGTTGACTCATAGAATGTTGGAGTGGAACAACAGCAAAATGATCAAAATGTGGACACTTGTGAATTTCCCAAAGGAGAAGAAAAGAAAAGTAAGCAAGCAGCTAAGCCTTCTAAAGAGAATTATATTGTTGTGAGAGCTAAGAGAGGCCAGGCCACAAACAGTCACAGCCTTGCAGAAAGGGTAATTTATCAAAAGTTAGATGACTTGATTAAGCCTTAGAATAGAAAACTTGGGGAAATAGAACAAAGGGAAAAAAAAAAAAAATGAAATGCTAGACTACCCACAAAATTTCATTCTCAATTAAAAAAAAAATAAAAATATCCCAATTATGTTTCATATGAGGTAGACCAATCAGGTTTATTACTTGGTTTTTACAAATGCTGCCTAACAAATAATTTGAAACTGGAAAAAGAAATTGTCTAATGTGTGTAAATTTGTAATTTGAGCTCTTTCTGATTGTTTCATAACCAATTCGTGCGAATGAAATGAATACGTCGATATCTTCCTATTGACTATCCAAATTACGAAATATTATCTAACATCAGAAGATTTCACTTTCTGTTCTGCAGTTTTTGTCCATGAAGCTTGCAACAGTAAATCCAGAGCTCAATGTCGACATTGAACGACTTTTGACTAAAAATGTAGGATACAGAACTAATCCAAAATGTTGGTATTTATTTATTTATTTATCTATCCGTAAAAAGTATCTTTTTAACTTGTGTTTTTGTTTTGCATTAACCAGCTTCTACATCCACAAGCTGGATTAGATTCAGGTTTCGGCTCGTCTGCTTTTACGGGACTTCACAATGTATGATAACAACATCTATGCATATCATTGATGTATAGCATGATTATATATTAATCCCTCAATAAATATGAAAACATATACCAAATTCTTACTTGTAACCTTGAAAAGTTGCTGCATATTTTATATGCTAACCTCAAGGCTTTTTTTTTTTGTTCTGTTTTTAATGATCTCAGCCCTTTTTTTTTGTTTCTTTTTCTTTTTCTAAAGTTTCATAAACAACTTTTACATTGTTATCTGTCCAGAACTTATGGAACAATGAACTGCAAAGTATCCTCCAATTGGGATTTGATTCTCATCCTTCTCTCGGTAGTTTGGGCGAAAACGGTAATATTTTTTGAACCTACCAACAATGCTGATCCTTTATATTGTTCTCATGGTGTGAGCTCATATTTTATAGGGTTGTCGAAAATGGATTTGTGAGCTCGCTAGCCGAATTCAGAAATCACTCGTTT